AAAGACCCCCCCCCCCCCCCCCCAGTATTTAAGTCTCACAGAGAGTTTGCTTGAATTACAATAAGAGAGGGGTCAGTATGTGATAACTATTCCCCAAATCAGAATAGGGGCTCAACTTCCACACCCTGGAAACCTTTGCTCCAAGTTAACTGCATGCACTTTCCTGTCCTACTCCTTGTTCTTATTACTCATTCCTCTCTCTCTGTGTCCTCTGAGCATTTGGCTACCAGGAATCAGTAGAATAATCCAAACCCATCCCATTCTCTCTGTCCCAAACACCTGGCCTAGGGCTGCCTCTATTTTGGGCTACCAAAGCCCAATCATGGGAAACACAAAGTCTGGATGGCTCCCCAGCTGGGCCACATCTAACAAGGGGGTTACAGCAGTTGGAGTCTTCTCTGAGGCCAATTATTTTCAATGGCCCTTGGCCATGTGACCTCAGACCATGATCCTGTCGGTTCTCATAAACTAACCAGGAGTGGAATGAATCACACTCAGAGAGGAAACCTCTGGGGGAAACTGCAAGGGGCTGTGGGAGGAAGGAGAGTGAGCTGCAGATCCCAAAGGCCATGGGAGCCTCACTGCCGCCCATGCCGCCCCACCTCTGAGCAGCTGTGACCTTACATGAAAGAGAGGAGGAGGAGGCAGTGGCCTTGCAGGAAGGCTGGGCTGCAGGAGTGCTACTCTTTTGCATAAGATTTAGGGTCTCTGCCCAAGAGGATAACTGTCCCCGGTAGCTCCAACTTGGAGAGACTGCCTGCCTCGGCCACTTGTTGAACCCAAATCCCTACTCTTAGGAGCTCCAATACATCATCATAAGGCAAATGAGATAACAGCCAACATACACACATGGATGCATGTGTACCCACATCTACTGTTGGGTCTGGGTGTCCCGTGGAGGTGATGCAAATGTTGGAGTAAGCTGCTGTAGATTCCTGATACAGTGCTGATGGTGAAGACACTTTGGGGATGCAACAGGAAGTGTTTACATCATGCCAAACACATTGATTAAAATTGAAAGTGAAATTCCAATGAAATCTTCATATTCTCCAATATCCTGATTCGGTTGTTGCACAAACAAAACTCTGAGCTTCCCTGCTATGTGTTTTACTTTAAATAATCTTTGAATTTCAAAGTTGTGTGTCTCTGTGGCTTTAGATCAGAAGTTACCTTAAGTTCTCTGACAAGTTAATGTATTATTAGAGAGGTTATTTCCAAATAAAACATGTACATGTAAACAAATCCTTTAGCTACGTATAAGTTTTATTTACTTTCTGGGCATGTATTTGGTTCAATCCTGGGGAGAAGAGTACACATACTTGTGTCCATGGGTACAGTACATATATTTATGCATACACAAAAACTCTGAGTGCAACATGCTATTTTAAGAGTCTGAACTCTATCTTTCAACAAAGTTTAGCTGCTTTCCCGTTGCAAATGCATTTAATTTTATCTGGAAACTTTTTGACGTTAGAAATAGAACAACTGTAGTTTCTCATTACGTTTGCTGCCAGAATCCATGCTTGGTTGCTCAACTAAAGACCTTATATTGCTAATTACTACCACATGCCCGTATCCCAAGCGAAAGAAAACTTATTGATTCTGACAGCCCATTCTCTCAACACTGAATTCCAAATGAAAACTCAAATTTTGGCCAAACATAACATTTCATCAATCTTGTTCTACTGACTGCAAAACCAACATCAAACAAAGGGTGCTAATGGCCTTTTATTACCCGCTCCTCTCCCAAGCTTATATTTTCTGATGAAAGATCTAAGTGACCAAAGGGCTTCTTTAAACTACTTAGTAATTAGCTTTTGAACCAGGAAACAAGGCATAAAGTAAAATGAACAGCCCCGGTGCCGATGACAGCATGGACTCTCGGTCCGCAGGGTCAGGGGACACAGGAGACCCAAAGAGAACACTAAAAGCTAAGTGCGTTTTCATAAAGGGAGAAGAAAAAAGAGAAACACCAAAAAGACAGGTTAAAAGCGGTGATAAAAGATTACAGAGCCAGAACAAAACTGCAGGAAGTCTGTGATCTGAAGTCATCGGCCAACGGGGTTTGATTCGAAGTGCCAAGGCGAAACGACAACCGGATCAGACCAGGGGTGGGCAAGTGGGTGCTGGTCAGAGGGCCTCATCTGGGCCACCTGTCAACAAAAGCCACCAGTCACCAGCCCACCCACATTTGACTAGGGAAGCTACTTTGGGAAAAAAAAAATTTTTTTTTTCCCACCTGGAATGAGAATCAAGAAACATTTTCAACCTAGACTTGGAAGCAGTTGGTGTTATTGACTTCTGCGGGGGCCGTGATTGGGAAACGCTGGCTGAGATGGTGAGGTGGGGAGGCCACAAAGAGAGCCCCCGGGCCTCGGAACACCTTCTGCCTTATGGCGACCTGTCCACACCTTAAAAGAAAAATGAACCGAGGTGCCGTTTTCCTCTTGGCATGAGATAAATGACCAGTGGGAATCTCTGGACTTATTTGGCCTTTTGGATCCAGCCAATGGCCCGGAAATCAGAACAGCTTGGTGCTAACCTCATCCAGGGTTGTTAAAATAATAGGGAGAGGTGGGGCCCATTAGAGTGAAGATGGAGGTGCTGCCTCCACTGAAAAGATGCCAACTGGCCTCCTCCTGCCCACTGTCCTTTGTGTCTTTCAAAGGAAACTGGTGTCCTGCGGGTAGTTCAAGAAAATGAGCCCTTTTTTCCCACCTCCTCATTTCCTGAACAGAGGACTGGACACCTGAGCTCAGGATGCACGGGAACCACTGATCGGAGAGGAGGGTTGGCGCCGTACGACGTGGCCAACTGTCAGGACAAGCAGGAGGGAGCGGTGCAGGGAAATACAGTGCTACCAGTGTGGTATTATTTTCTCTTAACAAAACAAGCTGTTCAAGAGTTCATTTGAAATTAAATGAGAAGGAAAAAAACAGCTCTGTGATGAGAACTTCCATGGCTGGAAAGAGACACGAGCAATGATAATTCTCTGTATCTTTACATGACGGTGGTTACTGGGTGTGCACATAGACACACATCCCTCAAACTGGACATTAAAGACGTGTACCTTTTACTCTAGTAAGTTACAGCTGAAAAACAAAAACAGTATTGAGTGCCCAGGAAAATGCTTGAAAGAAAGAAACAAATGAGGAACGGTTGCTGCCAGCTCTAGCTTGCCCCCAGCATTCTGCTCCTGAGGTGATGCCCCGGCGGAAGACCCAGAAGGTAAGGTCCTGTCACCTACTTAGGAGTAAACTCTCCTCTCTACGTGGGACCCGTACATTGATATTGATAGAGATGAAGTGATCTGAGCACAAACGGAAAGAGTTCCTAAGAAGAAAGCAGTCATGTTCGGGAAGCCAAACACGACTCATCAGAAATGGCACGTGGTACCCTGACATACTGTAAACATCATGTTTCTTGCCAAGAAGGAATTTGAGCTGAGTAATGAGTCTGGTGAGGACTTGAGGACAAGACCGGTGCCTTCTGGCTGGAGAGAACTGGTTCCACAGTGGCCACAATGCCTTCGCAGCAGGCAAGGTGGCCTGGGTCACACCTCCCAGAGGCTTCCCTGCTAGCATTTTATCTCATGTTATTGCTGCACAAAGTCACCATAGGATGGCACTGCGTTAGTGTGAGGGACCAGAATTTAACCACTCAGCCCGCTGATGTGAAGAATGGGTAAGCTGGATCACGCACCACTTGTTAAGGATCAGAACAGAAAATATGGGCCTGGCTATATATGGACCCCTTCCAGATAAATCCATTACATCTCTTGCAAATCGTGAACGGGAACAGGCCTAGGTACTTGGTCCAAGTGTGACGACATCCTGGGGTAAGCCCTGAGGTCGCACCCATGCGGAATGTGGGCCTGCCCTCCTAGAAGCCCCGGGCGGGCTGGGAGAGGGACAGGATTCAGATGCCACCGCCACAGGGACTCCTGAAAGTCACTCAACCACATCTTTTCTGATGCAACTGACTTACTTTCTGCCTCCATGTTTGTTAAAAGTCCCGCCGAATTTATTCCGATTCAGGATGAGAGCAGCAATTTCGGGCACGTAGCGGGCAAACATTGCCTACATGCATGAAACAAAGAAACAAGAGCCAAAAAAAAAATGGCATGCAGAGAGGATTCTACCGCAGTGAAGGCAGCAAAACCCCTTGGCATACTTACTTTCTTCCACTAACCGCACTATAGGAGCCCCCGTATTTCTTGCGGTTTCCTATTAACTCTATGATTTCAGGGACGTAGCTGGCAAACATGGCCTGAAGAGAAGATAGGAGACAGAAGAGAGACTAAAAAGACAGGCCAAAGAAAGGGGTGACCATTTCAGAAGGGGGGATCTAAGATCTGAAAACACAAAAGGATTAGATCTGTGAAGGTATATATTAATATGTTGGATTATAAAAAAAAAAAAAAACACACAAAAAAAGAAAGCTCCTGAAAACACATGAGACAAAAACATTAGCCAACCTAGACCAAAAAAAAAAATCACAGTTGAGAAAAATACAGAGGGAGGAATAAATAAGTTGATATCTGGCTCTTCCTGAAGAAAATAAGTAAAAGAAGTGTGTGCTGATGAAATTAAACACACACACGCACACGCGCAACACAAAAGGATTAGATCTGTGAAGGTATATATTAATATGTTGGATTATAAAAAAAAAAAACACACAAAAAAAGAAAGCTCCTGAAAACACATGAGACAAAAACATTAGCCAACCTAGACCAAAAAAAAAAAATCACAGTTGAGAAAAATACAGAGGGAGGAATAAATAAGTTGATATCTGGCTCTTCCTGAAGAAAATAAGTAAAAGAAGCGTGTGCTGATGAAATTAAACACACACACGCACACGCGCGCACACACGTTCCCAGGCACAGACATGCACACATTTTACTAGAGAAGATTTTTTTTTCTAATTAAAATTCAATTGTATGGGTGATTAAAGACAATAGAGAAGATTAAAATATTTTCCAAAAAATCACTAAAAAGCACAAAAGGAAAATTTAGGAATTCACACGGGAGGAAAGGAGAGCAAGGAGAGACACAGATCTGCCATGTTTTGTCCAACAAACATCTTGCTTGTGGCTGGGAAATGGGTCTCGTTATGTACGAGGACCTCCTAGGTACTGCAGAAATGCTTGGGTTAATGTACACATGCACACGCGCATTTACATACATTTAAAAAAATGCATATGTCCTATGCATACGAAGCAGAGAGAGGTGTATGCATCACTAAGTATAAATGTGCGTGCAGTGTACATATGGGAAGCTGTGCGTGAATTAGGATTTTAATCACTTACCTCATACACAGCAAAAATCTAAACTTAAAATGAGCTACTCTGAAAGACAGAATGCAGCCACCATCCCTGCATTGCCAGAAATCCCCCTCGAATTACATCATAATGGACGGTTCAGTGCTACATAAAGAGCTGCATAGACCGGAAAAGCAAACGGTGAAACTTTCTGACTTACGAAGGGGAAGGGAAGCTATTCTGCATGTTGCTGCAGAACGTGATGTATCATTTACAAGACTGCACTCTGTGCACGTGGTGACGTCCGTCTGGACAAGACCCATGTGCTCACTGTCCTCTGATGTGGGGACCCTTCTCATTAGGGCAGGCTCCAGCCACAGTGTTTGTTGGAAGTTTGGGGAGGAACATGAAGGGGAGGGGAGCTCTTGAAACCGCAAATTGTCTACAGAGTATCGCCAGCATCTACCAGGGTCAGGTGACAACAACTGTCCTTGTAGAATATCAGATGCTGAATTACATTACCAATGGACTGACACTCTCACTTATTAACAGCACCACTTCTTAAGACAGTTAGGTTTGCTCCTGGCTAAATGGCTCTCTGTGACAAGGGCAACGTGCCTGGGTCTACAGGACAAGTATAACACCAAAGAAATATGCAGAAGTCACTATCGTGTTTGAATTACATAGCCTGACTGTAACACTTACTTCTAATGCAGAAACACAGTATAAAAATCCAAAGATTTAAGAAAATGGATAAGAGACAATATTAACGATCATAACAATCAACATCAGAAGAAAGAGATTTTACCAGTCCCCCGAGGATGAAGAAGACCATGAAGAGGCGCCCAAGCGTGGTCTTTGCATAAACATCCCCGTAACCGACGGTGGACATCGTGACCATGAGTAAGTAGACACACTCCCAGTATGTAAGAGCCTGGTTGTTTTGGAAATTTTCCCATGGGTCCCCTGAATTCTCCACCTAAAGCAAGGGGACAAGGGAGAAAAAACCATCACTTATGTACAGTAAACCAGGAAGCACAGAGCCCCGGCAGCCCCGTCCACACGACGCATGCTGGCTCCCTGGGCTGCGCTCTGTGAGTGGTGGCTCACGCCTCTGAGCAGGTAACAGAGGAAATGGAGCAGCAGCAGGATGGACGCTTTCCCGGCTGATTCAGGCAGAGAGGAAGGAAGGAGGGAGATATCCCCAGGCCTCTTCACTGCTCTTCTCATGGTTAAAGGTCTGGAGCCAGCTGAAATCCATGGC